GCACTCCAGCAAATGGCACTGCTGTAAAGACTCGATTTTTAAGATAATTAGAAGCTAACAGGACAAGTTTCATGTAATATATATAATGAATGCCAACTAATGAACCAACATGTGCATAGTTATAAAACAAACACTTGTTTTGTCCAAGGAAGAAAAAAGTTCGTTCCGACGATTTTTTTTTTCAAGAAATCGAGCTCGTAGGCAGCCTCTGTTTAGAAGGGGTTTTGTTTGCATCAAAGGTTGTATGCAGATTTATCGATGTCTGTATCTATTCGAAATCGAAAAAACTAATTTTTTTCACTAATACCACTAAATTATTCAAATATGATAATTTAAATTTATGCATAATTTTCGGAAAAATATGCAATCTACAACAATTGATGTCTATAGATTCCATATTATGTCGAATGTTTAGCAAGTTTGATCGAATCAACCGCGGAAAAATCGAAAGAAACTCCCAAGATACAAAAAACAAGAACACGTTGTCACGAAATAACTTCATTTCTATTGGTAATAAATTTTGGGAAAAAAAAATTAAAAAAAAATGTAGTATTGTACTTCAATTGGGGAGCATAGACTTCTTGCCTTTGTTCGACATGAATCTTCCGTTCGAAACGCACCTCTTCGTCGCGACGGGGCTTCTAAGTAACAACACCCCGTCGTTGTTCCTATTTACACTACCGAACTCGCTTTCTTCACTACCGTATAATACTCCGTTCGACGAACCGACCCCCCTCCAAAGCTCGTCATTTTCCACTTGCACGTACTCGTCAATCTCTCCGAATTTCAAAATATCCGACACTAAAATCGGCCGTTGCGGCAAAGAAAACGCACCACCTAAAGAATCCCCTGCATTCTCAATTTCTTGAATACGAATAGCAACATCATCAACAACAACATCATCGTCATCCTCGTTTATTATTACAACATTTTGTTGAGACAAACTCAATTCTTGATCATCCACCACCAAAACCAAGTCAACCGGCGGTTGACTTACGCAAGAATTCGCTAAAGCCACAACGTTCGCGCGGCACAGCGGACAATTCGAGTGGGATTTGAGCCACGTGTCGATACAAGGCAAGTGAAAAGCATGGCTGCACTTCGGCAAAAGCCGCAACGGCTCGTTTTCTTGAAATTCACTCAGACAAACAGCGCATTCGGTGTCTTCGATCAAACCGTCGCCGTTTTGGTACTTGCAGACGGCGATTGCTTTGATAAGGGACTCGTCCATTCCGGCCGGGGCGACCCGGTACTGAATGTCCTGACCCGATTCGTTTTGATTCTCGTCGGATCCGGGTTCGGTGGTTCTTGTGGTGGTGTGGCCGCCGTCTGTGGTGGTTCTTCTTCTCTTGCAGTAGCGCGTGACGACGGTGTAGTAGCCGACTAGAAGGACGGCGCCGGCGAGAACGCCGATGATGGCTATGATTAGTGGGGAAAAAGGGGCGGCGGAATCGTCGTCGGACGGCGGCGGAGGAGGGAAGATTAGGTAGCAGAACTGCGGGCAGTATATGCTGCAGATTCCTAATGAACAGTCTCTGTAGCTGTCGTACGGTGTGTATGGATTTTGATTCGCTACAGAACCCATCTCTGAAAAAAAATTAAAAAATTATGTATGGTTGATTAGGGTTTCGAACAATCTACGCATGATTCGCCATTGTCGGAAAATAACAAAAATTGGAAGGAAAATTTGGGGTTTGATGAGAGAATTGTCTGAAAACCCCAACAGAGCTTTGAAGTGAAGGAAACTAAAAGTGAAAGCTGAAATTCATGTCCACTTTTTTTTTTTTTTTTTTTTTTTTTTTATTTATTTATTTATTTATTATTATTATTATTATTTTATTTTGTCCCCAAGAAAATTCCCTTATTTACTTTTACATCATATCAAGAATCCATGCTTTTTTTCTTTTTTTCCTTTTTTTTTTTTTTTTTTTTTTAATTTAACCTACTTAACAACCAATTTAGTTAGCATTGGTAATGCTCAACCGTCAGGTAGAAATTGGACGGATCGGGATTAAATTACGACTTCTAATAAATTTTTCGGAAGTAAAATTTCAACTCCGGTCCAAAAAAAAAAGATCGAGAATAAAATTGGATCGAAAAAATGTTTTCTTAAATCGGAAAATTTCGGATCAGAATCGAGAAAATTTAGAAATTACATTTATTTTTATCTCACCTATAATAGAAAATACATAAGACGGATCGGAGTTCAATTAAGAGCCTGTTTGGCTAAGCTTATAAGCTCCTAAAAACATCTTATAAGATGTTTAAGAGCTTATAAGTTGTTAAAAAGTGTTTGGTAAAAAAATTACAAAAGATCTTATTTTTTCTAAAAATAAGCTGTTAGGGAGCTTATAAGATGTTTTTTTAAAAGTACCTCTACCCCACCTTTTTTCTTTAAGATCTTATTTGCTTCTTTACTAAGACACTTAAAATACAAAATTGCCCTCAAATATTTTATTATATTACATGAATACTAATAACATTTATATTTTATCAAAACAACGTATTCTTGTAATCAAGATTAATACTTAGGGTAAATAGCACTTAGCCCCCCTGTGGTTTTCACTTTGTGCACTTTACCCCCCTCTGATATCAATTTGGTCATTTTACCCCCTTGTGGTTGACAAGTTGTAGCGACCGTCTGATAAACCGTTAAAGTTAGCGGAAAGTGCACTTCACTCGCCCAAATTTGTAGTGGTTGAAGGTTTTCAAGTTAAAATATTATATTAATACCTATTTGACCCATTTTCCTATAATAAAAACTCATACACCCATCCTTACTTTTCTTTTAATTAGAAAACCATTACAGATTCGTCTTTAAATTGTATATTAATTAATTTTAAGATGTTATGTTAATTATTTTTAAGATACTCATCTAAATCTTTTTATAATTATTTTATATATATTTCAATAAATCTTTGTTAAGTTAGTTGTACTTTTAGCCTGTACATTTAAACAAAAAATTTAAACGTGTATATATATATTATAATTTGCAACATTAGAAGGGAATATGAAATATTTTTGTTTATTCTGAAAATAATATACTACTACTGAAAAATAATTTGATTTCCTCATGTTTTTGCTTAAAAAAATAAATTTTATATTTTCATCCTAAAAAAGAAACAACTTTGATTTGCCATAAAAATTTGCTTTTATTTTCTCATTTTGCTTACAAAAAGGGAAGATGAATGGGCACAAAACTCGACTGCAAAAGCAAATATTCAAGAAACAAAAAGTCTCCTGAAATCATTAATTTATAGATTATAAATGTATTATAGTAAGAATAATACTAATTTGAAGAAAACCAATAGAAATCAAGAAAAAATCTTAAATTTCTACAACAAATTGACTATTAAAAGGAACCAATACACATGGTAAAAAGAGATTTTTACAGAGCTAAGAGGATAAATACAAAGATATAAGGAAAAAAAAATACTAAACTTTAGCATATTCTATGCATTCCGTTTCCATACTCTTGAGAAATCTCTAAGGAACCCTAGATTTGCCACAAGATTTAACAGATCCGCCCATGTCACTGTTCTTGTGGTCGAGTAGCTTAAATCAAGGTCGGCGGTGGAGATAGCAGGAGGGGGATGGGCGAAGAGACGACGGTAGAAGAGCCAGAACGGTACGTGGGGAATGATAGCCACCATTGTTGTTGTTCTCCGAGGATGTCCATTCGTCTTCCTGTGTGTCTCAGACGGATATTTTGTTTTTTTTGGAAGGGTCTGGAACATTTCAGGAGGATTTGAAGGCGAGGAGAAGAAGTAATTCTGATAATTGTTTTTTAGTCCTACGAATTGATGTTATTTCTAATTAAATCCGATTGAATTTACATTTATTTATTAAAAAAAAAAGTATAACCTGCAAATAGTAGAAAAATATGGGGTAGTCCAGACATTTAACCTTTTTCTGTTAACTTTAACGGTTTATTAGACGGTCGCTACAACTTGTCAACCACAGCGGGGTAAAATGACCAAATTGATATCAGAGGGGGGTAAAGTGCACAAAGTGAAAACCACAGGGGGGCTAAGTGCTATTTACCCTTAATACTTAATTAAAATATAATTATCATAATAGTAAAAAAAAATATTCTCTATTTATATTTTATGTATATAAAAATATCCGAATATTCTTATTATCACAATAATAAATTATATTTCTTTTGTCTATCAAAAAAAATTATATTTCTTTTACAACCTTTATTTTATATTAATATATTAATGGGACAAAAAAGTAAAACTTTCACGTTTCATTAAAATATTTTATTACACTTCATTTATTTTAAAAAAATAGTCAAATATATCATATCAAAATACATAAAAAATCATTTAGTTTATTTAATATATAATTTAATATTATTATTTTTATTTGAAAAAATAATTTGTAAATATTATAATAATATTTTAGGAATAAAAGTATTTGAGTCAAATAAATTTAACAGTTATAAACTTATAATGACGTCATGTACTTTTTTGTCACTATAGCGATAAACAGATCTTTTATTTCCAAACACCTGAACAACTTATAAAAAATAAAAGTAACTTATAAGCTACATATCCAAACACCTTAAAAAATAATTTTTAAAATAAGATCTAATAGCTTATCAGCTCCTAAAACATCTTATCAGATGTAGGAGCTTATAAGATGTTTTAAATAAGCTTAGCCAAACGGGCTCTAACACTTCTAAAACTAATCAATTTTTTGGAAGTGAAATTTCAACTTCGGTCCAAAAAAAAAGTCTTGGAAGAAATTGAATTGACAAAATATAATTTAAAATTGGAAAATTTCGGATCATAATCTAAAGACTTCAGAAATTACATTTATTTTATTTCACCTATAATAATAAAAAATAAATAATAATATTGACTATAAATACAATTATCGATATAAACACTTTTTAAAATTGTTTCCGAACATTAAAATCGAATCAAAAATTGAATTTAACATATATTCTAGTAAATATTTCAAAAAAAAACAGAAATTTTGAATATTCAGAACTGAAAACGGAAAATATTGTTCTAAAATCGAAAAAAGAAATCGTACCGAGAAATCAACTCAAGACTAGAAAAGCCTAATATATAAAACAATTCCAAACTCTATATTTTGTCTAATCTAACAAGGTTTAGACTATGGTCCTCATCTACTTTTTCTTTCTTCAAATTGGCTTTTACTTTGTGAAATTTGCTTTATAGGGACCAAGATAATTTCGAATAAGGCCCCAATGATTCAAGAGAAGTAGTGGACTGAAAGCAACATACTACCCAACTGTATTATTGTTTTTCATTATTAAATTAATTAATTAATGGTTTGTTGACCAAAGAGAGGATTTTTTATTGGCCTTGTAATAAAAAAATTGCTTTAGTAATTATTACACAAAGTAGGAAAATTTTATTTATGTAAAAACCCCTTATTTTGTTAAAAAATCGGTACCCATGTATTTGTAAATTTCTTGCATCCAACCCTCTAACAAAATTTGTGAATGTAAGAAATCTATAAATTATAGGATGGTGAGTGTAATTACAGAAATATAAGGGGTTTTTTGTTTAATAGACTTTACCTCAGGGGTGGATGTAATTAACCCTTATTATATATATCACCCCATTTTGTCACAACTTCCAAAAACTTGGTCGAGAAAAAACCATATGTTATACTAAAAATGATGTTACTTATAAAAGAACAATACTAAGTATAATGAAGCAATATTGTCCAATTGTACTAAAGTGGTCCTATGTAAATAGTACCATGTAAAAGTAGGTGTATGCACGAAAATTGTTTTCATTTTTTTTTAATCGAACTTTTATGATTATAAACGAATTTGGTTTGATTTTCAATCAGGTCGAACAAACTTAAACTGACATCGAGCCGAGTTTGATATCTTGTCAAACAATAATACATGCTCAATTTTTTTTTAAGTTGTATTAATAAATCAAACTCAAAGAATCTTTATCAATCAATTCCAAGTCGAGTATCGTCTTATCGAATAATTTATTTGATTTTCAGCCAAAGATAAAAGGAAAATATGTAGAGTGTCTTTCTAGAAAGTTATAGTAAATATAAAAATTATTCTTGAGAATGAGTTCTTAAAATACAATACATATAAGATTCTCTTTTTTTTTTCTTTCTTTCTTTTTTTTCTTTTTTTTTTTTTTATGTTTTTTTATTTTTTGTGATGAATCATCATATATGAAAATTCTAAGTTATCGAGAAACGACACAATTATTGACCGCCCCACCATGCACAGGTCCGGCCCACCACAATGAAATTGACCTAACTATATTAGTACGTCCAATTAAAAGCCCATCATCGCCCCTGTTATATAAACTATATAAACAATTGAATTATTATTAATAATTTAAATTACAAATACCCTCTAGGTATGGTCAATTTACAAAAAAAAACCTCTTTTGTTTGGATAATTACATCTACCCCTCAACTATGTTTTTTTTCTTATACCTCCACCCTTATGATGTCAAATTCAACATAATCATCTAGATTTCGTGGAATGTGCTTTAGTTTGTACTCGTTTTGAGTAAAAATACAGTTTCTGATGCACCAGAATCTGATATATATAAGCCAAAAAAGACATGTTATGATCAAAATGTAGAGTTTGAATGGGATAAAACGGGTACAAAGGTGATAATATTCCATATAATCTCGAAGATTCCACGAAATTTGAGGAGTTGAGGGGGTGGTGGTAATTATCCAAACAAGATAAGGGTTTCGTAATTGACCATACATAAATTAGGGGCCACCCCTGAAATTAGGTCAAATTACAAAAGAAACCCTATTGTTTGGATAATTACAACAACTCCCCTCAACTGTAAATCTTTTTACATGTCCACCCTTATGGTGTCAAATTGAACATAATTCTTTTAGATTATGTGGATTGTTCTCTACTTTGTACTCGTTTGTGCAGAAATGCAGTCTCTGATGCACCACAATCTGATATTTACAAGTAAATAAACACATCTTATGATCATCTTGTTACAAAATGCAGAGCTCAAATAGATTAAAACGAGTACAAACTGAAGAATATTCCACATAATCTAGAAGATTCCACTTTCACATATCTTCAACTTAATTTCATTAAGTACCACTAATTTTGTTCAATAACTTATATATATATATTTATATATTCAAGTATTGGGAAATTGAGATATAAATCCTCTACAAAATATCACCATATTACATGGTATGAATCAGAAGTAATGAACTGTACAATTACATTGTTATTACAACTTACAACCCAAACATTCAGGAAAATTGGATACACACTATTTTTTTTTGACCTCAACTGTAAAAAAGCAAAACTGTAGGTATTTTCTCTATTCCGAGAAAAAAATAAATGAAGAATGTCTATAGAAACAGTGCAGCTACGATTCGACGAATATACGATCATGCTTTACCCTTCCGCTTTTCATCCAAAGCCTGTTTCATCAAGTGTAAAAAAAATAATTAAATAATTAGCTTAAATAAGTAAATATTACCGAAGGTTGTTTTATGTTCCATATTTAGTTAATTCTCCGTGAAAGCATTAAATAAAAAAAAATGGGGAATTTTCTCATAAAACACGGTGAATTGTATAACAGAGTATATAGAGAAATAAATACCTTGCTCTGGAAGATTCTCATTGTCAACACGAGCGCATCTCGTTTTCTACATACCAAAAACGAAAGCATGTTGTTAGGCATATAAAAACTAAAATGTTCAATAGGAAATATATAATAATAATTATTATTATAAATAAATAAATAAAATAACATAAAATAAAAATAAAATAACCAGGGTATTATTATTACCTAATATCATTGCTTGTGCTAAAGGGATACGACGAGCCATTTGAACATGTCAGGACAAACTGCGCCGAGAGGCCACTCGGTATTTTAATCTGAAAAATATAAGCAAAATAAAATATTACAAAATTAAAAGGACCAAAAAAAAAATTATTCACAAGTTCTTTAAAATTGCCTAATATATTTATTATTGTAATTTAGAAATTAAAACTTTTACTAATGGTGATTAAGTAAAGAGGCATACCAACAAATCTTTAGAAAATTTCTCCGAAATTACGGCATCTTGTTTTCTTTCATCCTTAACCTGAAAGCCTGACCTCCTCAAAATTAAAGTTGCGGGCTCCCAATTCTCAGACGAATCTAACTGTAAAATATTTAATATTAATCTCCAATTAAAAAAAAAACATTGTGGCATACAAGATTATTTTAATTTTGCAAATTAAATTTATATGTTAAAAAATAAAAATAAAAAAATAAAAAAAACAATACATACAAGAATGAAGACAGTAAATGCTGCCTGGCCTTTCGCGATATAGTTATCTATCTCGTCTTGCATTTCTTCATCTGCAGCGTAAAATTATAATATACACGGATATGAAATTGCTGCGGTAGAATTTTTTTTTAAATAATAAAACCGACACTACTAAAGGGAAATCGACCCCTATTTTAATGAAATTGTACTCACCGCACGTAATCTTGTTTTGGTCATTCGCGAAGATTCTGACAATATCACCCTGAGAATATACGCAATTCGGCATGCAAATTATTAATATGACATTTCGGAATATTGCAAATAGGTGAACGAAACGGCTAAATAATAACTCAATAATGAAAAAATAATATTCACAAATTGTTTTTTTCTAAATAAGATTTAAATTTGAAATAAAACTGCATTACCTGTCGTCCTTGATCATCCATCGGTATGCACTCAACAGCAATAAGTTTATCGACATCGTCAGCTGTCACTATGTAATCTGGATTCGTAGCTCCTTAAAAAAAAAAAAATAGATACATAAAAATATATTTCACAAAAAAATATAGCAACAAGATACGAATAAATAAATATCTTGTTTATACACCTACCTTCGATATACTGCCTCGTGCCATCTGGATAATGACGAACCCACTAGTAATTCGGACGAAAAAAATGGCAAAAGAAAAGATTACAATGTATCAGTACAAGCGATTCCCTAAAAATGTAAACGAATAAATAAAATTACGAAAATACCCCTCGCCCGTACCTGAAACATGCAGAGAGAAGTTCCACGAACAGGAAATCCACAGCCTAAGAGTTTGCATCCGGGTTTAGCGTCACCGATAATTTGAAAGCCTTCTATTCCAGGACCATCTCCTGCAATAAAAAATTCTATCATACATCGCAAATTATAATAAATAAATTAAATTAAATTTAAAAAAACTGTGTCGTAATATATTAAATGTGCCTACCTTCTGAACCAAAAGAACCAACACTGTCATTCGTTATCGGAGGCTGTGAAAATTGATCAGCATTTATTCGATCGGATCCCGACTGGAACCCGTTTCTTTCTAGCATAATGTCCATAGTATTGCTTGGGGCATTTCTGTAATTTTTAATCTGTCAGCATGAATAAATTTCTTGATATTGAAACAAAAAACTGACTTTGATATGCTTTAGATCGACTCGTTGCTAGTTCCTACTAATACATAGTTTACATTAGAAAAATACACAAGCATAAATCGGAGTGAGGTTAAAGCTACGCCATATCAGCAATTTTCTGAGTCGAATCACTACGGCGAAAAAAATATAATCTTTCTAAATTTCACAATTCTAGCAAATTTACGAACGTGTCTGCAAAATAGACAGTTAACCTATGCTTGAGTTTTTTTTTTTTTTTTTTTAAATATCCCACTTCTTTTGCACATCTCATTTTTTACAAGGCAAATTAGTGAAATGTCGAAAACAACCGTTAGACTAAGTTAAACATAATTATTGTGTAAATACATAAAGATTCTTGACAAATAAACCACGAAGAACGGAATTAAAAAATTCATAAAAATTCCAAAAAAAATTTAATGCCAACCTATCAATATTAGGCGGTAAAGTCCTTCCAAAACCCTCGTTATCCGGAAACTGTCGCATCTCAAAATTGCGCGTAAGGCTTTTGACTTGTTGAAGGTCATTGTCTTGCACGTATCTTGCCACGTCATCACCGGTTTCCAAATTTTTCCCGTCAATATAATTGCTATAGTGAGGAAATCCTTGCACACCCTACATAAACAAAGGTAGGTCACAAAGCAATACTCTCTATTTCTACAAAAAGAAAAAAATGGCTTCCCTGAAAAAACAATATAATTACAGCAATTAATTACCGTAGAGCTGCTAGGAATTTGGCCGCCCCTCGAACTAAAACCTGGAATTTCTTTTTCGACAAAACCATTTCGGGAATTGTTTCCGATCATGGAATTTACTTCTGCAAGTCTGGCCTGCATGTAAATAATTCTTTATTAGCTTTATTCATAATGCGCAGCTCAAATATTACAAAGATGCCACTGAGTTTGCGGATCCCGAAAAGGTAGAAATATCGGATAATTATCTATTATCAAACAGCCAAGTAAAGAAAAAGGTTGACGTTTTCTAGTACAATGCTTGCTTTACCAACTCAAATTCATCCGTTATTCGTAACAAATACACATTGCAGAACCTTTAGTCTAGTTCCAAGGTAGTAACAAATCGGGATTAACATCGTAGGAATTATGATTTTACAACCCATACATTGTAAAAATTGATGTAAAATCCTAAACCAGGTAAAATCGTTTGGAATAGGGATCAAATTTGGTAAAATCGTTAAAATCACAGTTCTTTTAGGAGTTCACCTTTTAAATCAAATCAGGCCGAAATTCGATTTTTGAAGCGTCATTAAACGACAGAAGAAATGAATTCGTCAAATAGGAGCAAAGATTATTTACGCCATTAACGAAGCACAAATCAATAGAACGTGTGCGAAATAAGCAGGCGAAGTACAATCTTACATGCGAAGTTCTTATCTTCAACTGCAGTTGATCATGCAAGTGCTGCAAAAATCAAAAGATCATAACTAAAAGTCAAACTCGTAGATTGGAACACATTATATAACTATCCAAAAAGATCCGAATTTTTTATATTTAATGTAACTAAATAATAAAATTAAACAATATCACTTTACTAATAAATATATATAAAAAAAAAATTAAAAAAAAAAAAAAAAACACCTTAATGCTGTTGGTTAGAGCAGAGGCATTCGTAACATGAGGCATAGCACCACATTCAGCCAATATTCCGAGCATAGATGTAGTAAATATATGTTTCTCATCCTCTGCCACCTGGACCCCACAGAAATATTTTATTTATACATAATCCATATCTAGAGTAATATAGTAAGAACGTGTCAACCGAGTATTTACCTTTAACTCATTCAACAAGTTTAAATTTACTTCGAGATCACCTTTCCTTCGTGCCAACTCGTTTGATGCAGAAGTTATAACTTCACTCTGCTTCTCGTCTAGTGCCTATAACCAAAATTCATTATTTCATACATTAGCCTATGTCAAAATGAAATAACCATAAATAAATAAATAAACAAGAACGTATTTTAAGCTAAATGAAAAACAATTAAAGAAAGGACAGATGTAACGAACCATCCGTAACTCCGAGAATCTCTTTTCGAGTGTATATTTCTCATTCAACAACTGTGAGTCCTACAAATCATATAAAACAGTATAAACCTCGCACAAACGATACGGAAGTATGCCTAAATATGTATCTATATGTTATATCGTAAAAATATATAAGTCTTACTCTAATACTCGCAAGAGCAATTTGCTCCCTAAGTTGCATAATTTCCTTCTCTTGAGCTCTAGCCCGTGAAATTAGTTCCTACAACGCATTTCATTTCCATTTTTACTTTCAAAAAAATTACACCAACGCCTATCGTTTAAAAAAAATAGACGAGTACCATAGTTTCTCGATCTTCGGACTGGTTCGTATTTTCTTTCCCCTTCACATTTTTTTGTACAGAACTTGCTTCTAAGTTGTGCCTGTGAGCAAATTAATATTCGACTTGAAGAATTTCTAAGGCGTAAACAAAAAAAAATCGATTAAATTATATGTACCTGCTTGTGGATTCCGAGATTTGTGGCTGAGTATCGATATTCTTGTGGCCGTTAGCAGAAGTTTCCCCAGAAAACATTGCCGTTTTCAATATACGTCCACAAAACGAAGCGAGTTTAGTGCATACAGGTCATTTTACTAAGCACACTCCACGATAAAATAAGATCATATACTCGAGTTTCTTTATTCGATAGTTGATACTAGCAATAAACGGCCCTCCGATTAAGACTTGCTCTGAGGAGCCTGACCAAAGAAACACAAAGAATATAAATTCTCGATTTTTAGAGTTCGAAACATATTTAAACAATTTACTAACAAATATAGGAAACACCGGGAATTTTAAACTTTAGATTTTTGCATTTGGACTTAGGAACACTTGAAAGCAGAAATCTCGTAAAATTGACAAGGAATTTTTTTAGGTAATAATAAATAAATAAATGAGTTAGGACACGAAGAGCTGACACGTGTTAGAACGCGGTATAAACAGTCTTTTCTTTTACATGCTAAAGCCGTGGGAAAACCGATACAGAACATACTTGTTTAGTCGTAACCGAAAACATTAATTAGAAACGAAAAAAGAAAAATAAAACCACAATTATTATCAACCTGTGCACACCGCACAATCCTCGGAAGTAGAAATTGCAGATTCAGGATTAAAAACAACTGTAAATACCTGATGAAATGCCATCAAACAATACGCTAAAATAAAAGCCCTATCGATGCATAAAAGGGGTAAATTAGAAGGGCTCATGCCCAATAAATCAGAACATATGCAATGAATTCAACCAAATATCAATAATTAACCAACCAAATAAAAAGATTTCAAAATTAAAACAACTTCCATTAAAGAACTAAACTCCAAGAAACAGCAAACAAATGAATCAATTGTTCTGGTTAAACCATTTAAAATACCCTTTAAACTAACTAAATTAACAGTAAACATAAAAATCAAAATCAAAATCAAAGTGACAAGAATCAAGATTCACTAAACTTCAAGAAAATTGAAACCCATTACTTACATAAACATAACAAAATGAACACCCAGAAAAAAAACAAAATTAATCGATTTTCTGAACAGCCCAGTAAGAAATGAGTACAAATTGCGGTGAATCCATGCATAATTCACATAATCTTCAAACAAAATTTCGACAATTGAAAAAACAAAATAGTGGGTTTCTTTACCTTTGCGATTTTAGTGAAAACTATGATTGGAAAAACCTCAATAATTAAGAACAAAGAATCGAAGAAAAAAGGGTCTCCGGAGAAAGAGAGAAGGCGAAGAATTTGAGAGATTTTAACAACGTTGGCATCAGAAAGTCAGATGCCCAGTCGTTGGAGATTTTTTTCTTTCTTTCTATTTTTCCCCTCAACCGCAAGATTGTATGTATATATATATATATAATTTATTTATATTATTAATAAAAAATAAATTATTTATATATATAATAGGGTAAATTACAACCACCCCTGAGGTATGGTCAAATTACGAAAATTCCCTCTTGTTTGAATAATTACAACTACCCCTCAACTCATCAAATTTAGTGTAATCTTCGATGTTATATAGAATATTATCACTTTTGTACCCTTTTTATCTTATTCGAACTCTACATTTTGAAGCAAGATGATCGTAATATGTGTTTTTTGGCTTGTATATATCAGATTATGGTGCATCAGAAGCTGTATTTTTACACAAAACGAGTACAAACTAGAGCACATTCCACGGAATCTTAGATGATTATGTTGAATTTGACACCATAAGGGTGGAGGTGTAAGAAAAAATCATAGTTGAGGGGGTAGATGTAATTATCCAAACAAGAGGGGTTTTTTCGTAAATTGACCAAACCTAGGGGTGGTGTTTGTAATTTACCCTATATAATAAATAAAAGGAAGGGGTCATTAGCAATACACCCCTCTTATAGATTAAAACTAGTGATAAGTCCATACCATAATTCTTCCTTTGTGAAAACCCCCTAAAATATTTAATTCCCATCTTACCCCTCTAGTAGCATCTCACGTCGATTTTTTATATTTATATATTATTTTCAAAATCCCTATTAATAAGGCACCTAATCCCGCTATTTATGCTTAATTATTTAGTTTCTCTAATAAACTGCTCTTAATTAAACATTTTCAAAGAAAAAAAATTAAACCGTAGCATCGTTAACAAGGAGACCCACATATTGGGATTTCCCCCAAATCAAAAACTGGCAAAAAAATCAAAATACTCGTTGCGAATCTGCAGTCACATTCCAAAATCAAAGATAGTTGCTACAAAATCGTCCACCCACTCTCCCCATTCACAGTCGTGTTTTATTTCAGTGGTGTTTCGGTAGTCATAATCCCGTGAATTTGAGTTGCGATAGTCACATTCGAATCTGCTTTTTGAAATGAAGAAGAAGGCGTCACAGAAGCGTAAACGAAGACCCAATCTTCAGGACATTATGCATCTTGATGCCGGTTAGTTTGTATACCTAAATCCTTTGTTTTTGCCAATCAATTTTCGTACCATATATTGCCAAAAATATAGTTTTTTGTGCCCGTAGATCCAATTTAATTTCACTTTAGGGGTTTCTTAGGATGATTTATGGTTGCATCATGACTACATGTGACTATGCTAGATACACATTGAATCTATGGTTGTTCGAATTTCATTGAAAAGTGTTCTGTATGTATGCCCAAACTGCAATTTAACCAGTGTTAATAATGTTCTGACTTCTTAACATTTGCAGCAGAAATATGCTCTGATTTGAGTATGTTATACAAATTTGAAACTAAATTAGTGTATTGTTATAGTCGTTTCATATAGTCATGTTGATATAATATATGCTATATGTCTGCATGTTGATGTAATTAGTTGTATACCAATGTTAATAATGTTCTGACTTCTAAACATTTGTATCAGAAATATGCTCTGATTTGAGTATGTTATAAAAATTTGAAACTAAATTAGTGTATTGTTATAGTCGTTTTATGTAGTCATGTTGATATAATGTATGTTATATGTCTACATGTTGATGTAATTAGTTGTATACCAATGTTAATAATGTTCTGACATCTAAACATTTGCAGCATAAATATGCTCTGATTTGAGTATGTTATAAAATTTTGAAACTAAATTAGTGTATTGTTATAGTCGTTTTATGTAGTCATGTTGATATAATGTATGGTATATGTCTGCATGTTGATGTAATTAGTTGTATATGTCTGCATGTGTGATCGTAGATCCATATTAGATCCATTTTGTTGTTTCAGATGGGATTTACTTTTGTACACACATATTTTTTGGGGCAGCAGTCATGTTTGGGGTATGCGTTGATGTATTAGTTCCCAACAATAGATGTTGTGGTGTATTCATATGGAGTCATGTTGTATTATGTGAATTATACGATAAATTTGAATTACATTCATATATAGACATATTTTTTTAGTAGTCATATGAGAGTCATATGTAATCATATTTGCTATGCTTTCTCATTATTCGGTGCCATAGTCGAGGAAATTGTTGTTACTAACAGTACCATATTCTTTTAGACAGAGGCATCAAAGAAAATGGTACGACAAGTCTGTAACCTGAGATATGGAATACGCAATGTGGAGGTTAGTAAGCTATCGTGACATTCTTCAAGGACGTGCAATTGGAACCAACACATTTTCTTATTTTTTTTCATTTTTTGTTCTTATGTAATATTTTCCAGATTTGGCTGCTTGAGTTTTTTTCTTCTTCTTAATCACTGCTCTGCTTACTTGTCAGTGCAATAAAAGTTGTTTACCCGTACAGTTTTCACTCCAATTATGAACAATAAATTTCTTTTATATTACAAGTTTGTAGTAAATTAAAACGATTTTTAACAAAAAAAACTTGAGTGAAAATCGTCTCAATGTTGTTTCTGGAAAGAACGAAAAGGATTTCATTGATATCAACCGTTGTTTTTACATTTGTGGTCATACGAGGTAGTAGTTATATCTAGTCATTTTATTAACCTAGCAAGTGCGTTAAAATTACCAGTTCATTACATCGAGTTTGAACGAATACAATTATGTGTGGTATAGTCATTTTCCAATTTATCTTGATGTCATATAAATTGACTGCATCATCATATCATATTCAAAAAAAAATGAGCATTAGTTGTCAAATGCCATTCGTAGTCATATTTCTTTTTGTGTAGTAATATTACTATTTTAAGGCATAGATGAGCCATTAGTATTCAAATGTCATGCATGTGTAGTTATATTTCGTCTTATGTAGTAATTTGGTGGCATATTCAAGGCTTTTTTCGTTGATATCATTTCCATTCTATTATCCAGATACTGCAAGGAAGCTGGCTCGGTAGACCCGTAATCAGGGCTCGTGGAATACACAATTCAGAGTATGAAATCAATTCGAAGACGTGTACATCAACCAACACATGTTGTCTATGTCTGATCACGTACCCTGTTCTATATAACGATGTCCAAAAAATGAATCTGTATTATGGCTATTATTCAAAGTGACTACGCAATATGACTGTTAAGTGACATACATATACTAAAACAGCCTTGAAGTTTTTTCATTATTTTTTGATCTTATGGAATATTTTTTTTATCAATATATTTATCTATGTTTACTCTATTTGTATTAGTACGTTCCCTAAATTTTTCTGTATCAGTACATTTATCTAATGTATTAGTACTTAATATGACTATAGTCCAATATGACTATAGTCGAATACGACTAATCGAACATGACTATAGTCCAGCCTTAAAACCCCTTCATGTTTTCGACCAGATTTTTTTCATCACTACAATCCTCGAGTGTAATGAAATTCAATTCTCCTTCCCAATCCTCAAAACCAACACAAATTCATCACTGCAATTAAGATTACAATTTTGACATAATTTGTAATGGCCTGTAACAAATAAAAACAATATAGTACATATTTTTTTCTGCTAATTGAGACTAATTAAGGATCATACAAGAAAAATGTAAATACGCAATCTTTTCTTCTTCTTCTTCGTTCATAAAAATTCGTACAAATACTCAACACCATTCTAGATATCAGTAAAAATCTCTAATAACAATTGAGAAGCTCTTCCAGGTCATCTTTTGAGTACAAATCCTTCTCCGTAACCATCTGCAACATGAAGCGGCGGAAATCGAGATAAGGGTGGTTGAAATCTTTCTTCTGCGCCACGCTCTCGCTGCCGATTCTCAGAATCTCTGGACATCCCTCGAGCTCCGGATGGCGTCCGCCTCTACATCGGTGTCGGAGGATGAGCACATCGGGGTGGTGTCGCAGGAGGTGGAGGAGGAAGACAACAACGCCACCACCACACGCTGCCATCACTGTCATCGTGTAAAAATACGAGAAGGAGGCGGCAATGGTGGTGTAAAATCTGAAAGGTGGGCGACGGTGGTGGTGAAAATCTTTGGTATGCTGATATGAAGAAGAGAGAAGATAGAAGGGTTTGAAAGTGGGGTGAGAAACGAGATGAGAGAGTGGGAGAGAAAAAGAGGCGAGAATGAGAAGAGTTAGGGTTATGTTGGTAAGGGTATTTTTGTCTTCTTACATAAGTTCAAGGGGGTCTCACTAATTTAAATTGAGATTTGGGTGTATGAAAAAATCTTTAAAGTCAATTGGGTTTAGTTCATAATATTTTCGAAATGAGGGGTGTATTGCATATTTCCCCTAAAAGGAAATATCAGATTGTAGACTAATGAATGTGAAAAGCTGGTTTGGAAAGCAGCAGTTAATTGGAGAAATATTTCGATAGTAAGATTTTGTCCGAAAAGAAATACTAATTTAATGACAATTTTTTTTTTTAGAATTCAAATGGGATTAATCCTACTTTGGTCCCTTGAATTGGAGACTTTCGGCAATTTGCACCCTTGAAAAATAATAATAATAGCAATTTGAACCCTTAAAACACAATAAATCATTTACAATGCACATCCTAAATTGAATAATATGGGAAATTTCATTTTCTTATTGGGTTTTTTGCCGGGGTGCGAAATAAAAAATTATTATTTACTTCAACATCCAACTTAATTTCGAGCGCATTAAATGTAAAAAAATAAAAATCACATTGAATTATTGAAAGAAATTAAAAAAAATTTACAAAATAAAATAAAATAAACTTTTATCATTAAATTATTCAGTTGATGGATCTTTTATTGTAATTGGTGGAATTATTACTCAAATTTTATTCAGTG